CTGATGCGTGTAATATGAATAAGTTAGTTCGGAACCTGAATTAAAAAAGGATTCTGAATTGGTTCTTAATACTTACATTAGGCGTGGATCCTACAGTTCTGGTTCTTAGAAACTAATTCTTTTTTTCGGGCTGCACCGATACACAATTTTTTCATAGATCTGATATATATCGCAAACAGTACCGATACTAATATTTACTTATTGTCATTTTAAATATATATTTTTTTAAATTATGCAATTATTAGAAATTTAAAATAAAATTTATCAAAAAGCGTTTTAATAAGAATATTCACTAATCCCCGTTCTCAAAATCATGAAGAAGGTACTAGGCTGTGTCCTAATTCGACTTGTTTTTGATACTTAATGTTAAACAGCTTGTGAACTAGAACACCCTGTTTTGGTTTGTTTTAAGTCGACGACTGTTTAATAATAAGTCGAACAAAGGACACATCCTTAGAACGTTTATGAAAATATCTCTAATTCTGTAAATTTGTAGGAAAAGATTTGTATTTATATGATATAAAGTAAATAATGTCTCATTTTATTATTAAAGATTATAAATATAGTTAAATATTTTTTTTTTTCGATTTTTATTTAATATAAGTCTTTCTTAATAAAAGAAAATAGATAAATATAATTACACAAAATTGGGTATTTTTTTTTCTTATTAGTTTATTAATATACTTAACTTCTTGTATCGTCAAAAAAAAATGCAAAAAAAATGCAAAAAAATAATGATGCATTCCTTCAACTTTCTTTATGGGAGTTATAAAGATTTTGCGAGAAAGGCAAAGTTAGTTCAAAAATGTGTATAAAAATAAAAATTAAATTTTTTCTTTGCTTTATAAAATCGATATCGGTTAAATTATAAAAAATATCAGCCGTCCAATATCGCGCCGTTCCGATAACTACATGTAATATTGCTGCTCTATTATTTTAAAAAATGTCTCCATATCTCATATTTTTAAAAATAATATAATTCAATAAAAAATAAAATTACAAAAAATATATATTAATCCCATAAATAAAATAATCCTTTATTTTCAATTTTCAAATAATAAATAATATAAAGTATTAAAAAAAACGAAAATATAATATTTTATGTTTTAATATATTTAAAAATGTTTGAAAAATATATAATAATACTATAAAAAAAAAGAACGGAGATGGTGTGAGGCAGGGAAACTAAAATGAAAAAGGGACGTAAGTGTTGTCTAGGATAGCTCTTTGGCTAGAAGACTACCATTGAAACTGATATAATTAGCTTTGAGAATCGCTATGGATAATCGTTGACGAAGAAAAAAACCCTCTCGAGGTTCTTCTGAGAGTTTGCTGATTTGTGATCCTAAGTTTTTAAAAATGCTAAGGCGAGTTTGCCGAAGGTGCCAAAAGTGGTTGATATGATTGGGATGAAGCAATGATCGTTCATTATTTCTGTGTATTTAGAAGTTTTAAGTTGTTCCTTCTGGTCAAGGATGTTGATGGCGTGGGATGGGGCCAAGGGGTCAATACAGGAATAGTCCCATACCAAATGTTGGCCTCTCCTCCATGGGATTTGAGAGATCCCGTCAGGACGTTTACCGTCAGATCTAAAAAGACCCTGTAGTTCTAGAGTGGAAGGAATTTGGGCGGATTTCAGTGCATGTGGGATGATTGTATTACATTGCTTGTGTCTGATGAATCGTCCATTGCAGGAGCGACAATGTAAACTATGTCTACCCTTCGAGTCAACTGGCGAGTTGCACTCTGAGCAGATGTGAGGGTGAGTGATGGAACAATTTAGACGAATGGGCGTGGGTAAATTCATTGTTGGATAGTTGAAGCTGAAGATTGGTCGATGGGATGGCCTCAAGAAACTCATGTCCCGTACCATTGAGCAGGGAAGAGAATAGGGTGCGGTCGGTAGATTGCATGCTAGATAAGAGAGTTTCAACGCAGCGAGCAACCACTGATGCATCCCAGTCTTTCTGTCTATGGGTTGTGGGGGGATGAGAATCAGCATTGATCCTTGTTTTCCAAATATCCATAGCCACGATTAAGGAAAGGTCTTCTTTAGAATTATGGGCGGTGGTTATTGGCTTTGTCAAGAGACTACTCGATATGAAAGTAGTTATTGCTAAGTCATGTGGAGATCTGATGCCAAGACCACCAAATTTGGTTGGAAGAGTTGCTTGGGCCCAAGCGGTTTCGTTGAATCTGATATTTACTATTTTTTCGGTTAAGTCCTTTATTCCTTTTTCGTAAGTTTGGAGAGGAATAGGATATTTAAAAATTGGTGTTGACCGAAGTGCGTATCCTTGGTATAAAAAAGGAATCTTTTAGCAAAAAAAAGGACTTGTGTGTGATGGAAGAAGTGTAAAGATGTCCTCCAGTTTAAGGAGTATGTCGAGTGTGGAATGAAGAAAGGTGCTTATTGCCTCGTGTCTTCCTACAGGCGATCCTAGATGTGTTAATTCAACGCTTGATGTGAATTTGAAATCGTGAGTGTTGGGAGCATTAGAATTTAAATGTGAGAATTCAGATTTGCTCTGGTTAAGATAAAGTCCAATGGCTGTGCCCATTTCTTTAATTATGTTGACTGCTTTGGCGATTTCACTACAGGGACCACTCAAGATTCCATCATCAATATACCAAGCGTGGAGCGATAGAGTACATTAAATTAAATATGCTAATCGACAAGATTATGTTCAAATAGAATGAGATCCAAAGAAATTTTTATTATTTTAATGTATAGGCAGTTGCAGCCTTTTGTTTTACACTTCTAACGCGTTCTTTCTTTTTTAATCTTTTTATAAATTCGTAGATCAATATTTTTAAATTAGTGATAAGGTCAATTTAAAAAAAAATTTCTAAGAGTAAATCGTTATTTCGTATCGAATTGTATCGGTTAAGAATAAAAGAATTGGTTGATAAATGTGCATCTCTGTATTTAATAAATCAGGAGTAAAAAAATAAAGTTGTTGCCTAAAAATATGAATATATAAATAAACCGATTTATCCGTTATATTTCTCCACGCTTCTCCGCCAATTTTAGTTATTTCAATGATCGACGCTTTAGTGTTCTCCCGCTTTAGCCTTTCGCGATTTTCTTGTAGCCATATGAAATAGGTGGGCAAACACCCTTTGGGTAGATCAGGATCTTTATCCTTGTTAGTCTTTTTTTTCTTGGAAGTTGTTTTTTCTTTATTCTTCTAGTACGTATATTATAGTATATTTATAAATTAATTATAAAATTTAAAAAAAACATATATTTTAAAATATAAATATTCAAGCATATTTGAAGAGAAAAAAATTTACTAATAATTCAAAAATGTTAAACGAATTTCATTAATTTCATATTAAGTTTGATTTTTTATTTAAAACCATAAATCGTTGGGCAAAAAATAGTATGTTCACCAAATGATAAATTGCGTTTTGGGGATATAAGTATGAAGTGACTGCAGATTTATAATTCTATAAAGTATCTTGTTATACACCTTCTCAAATTTTCCGATATTTAACATAACAAGTAGACAATTACTTTATAATACATCTATCTTATATTCGAATGCGATTAAATATACATAAAAAATACATTGTTTTAATTCATTTAACCAAGCGTTTAAATAAAATCTTTATCTGAAAAAAATATTTCGAGCAATTGAGAAAAACATGTATAACCAGATTTATATTTAGAGATAAAATAAAATCCATCCCAAAAAAAGAAGAAAAAAATGTTTAGGTATTTTTATAGTAAACATTAAACGCTTCATTAAGTATTAGTGCCAATTAAAAAGATGCTATCCGTGCATCTCTAAAAAACATTACAGGGAGTGGCAAAATCTTTTAAATTTAAAAAACGAACCTTATAAAAAAACATAGTATATATTATTTTTATAAAAATTGTAAAATTTTTTCCTCTCCCCATTCCCAATGCACATACATGATATTCTTTAACAATATTATAATGTCCTTATTGATAAAGGATATAATGAACTAAGAAATTAACTTTAAATAGCAGCTAGAAACATAACGTTCCTAGGGGGAAACATAAATATTAAACGTTAAATTCCAGGAATTTTTTTTATTTAATATAAGGATTTTCAAGGCCCATAAATTCCAAACTGAATAAAACCTTAGAAGATGCAGCACCTACGCTGGTAGAAGACTTTTTGGTAGAGTCCTTTTTGGTAGGGTTTGGTGTTGCCTTAGGCAACTCAACCTTAACGTCTTTTTCTTCGTCGCTATCTTCTAGAACATTATCATTTACGGTTCGTTCCATCGTTTTGATCTTTTATGAGAATCGGGACTAGAACTCTTTTTATGATATGTTTTATCCTTATTGGGGGTCTTTGACTTGGACCGAGAATCGGATACATGCGAGGTGACGGATTCGGCCGAGGATGATTGAGCGTTAATATCGTACCTTGCCGTGAGTGGGAGAAAAAATATTCAAATATTCTAAGTAAAAAACGAATAAATTTATATATAAATTAAGAATAAAAAGATGAAAGAGAACAATATTTTAATTTTAAGTAAAATAATGAATATATGTTGTAGGATTAAAAGATTTTTTTTAAATCATCTTAAGGTTATATAATACGGTTTTGCTAAAAAAAAAATTATTGTAGACTTCTATCTTTAAAAAAAAATTTTTTATTATTCATGTTAATTTAATCTTTAAATAAAAATTGACTGATAATCACATAATATTTCAAAATTTATTCTAGCAATTAATCAAGCTGTCGTGATTGACGTTATTCGAGAAAATTTTATAGTCGGTAAATGTTTAACAGGCATTTTTATTATGTAGATATTATTTTTATATAGGCGAAGTTCAACAGTATTTATTCATTAACTGGAAGATATTTGATCATTGGGTGGGCAGTTTAAACAATTCCACATAAATGGGGAAGGGGGGGGGGAATTTACAAATGTGGGCAGGGGAGGCAAGCGGGTTAAAAAATTTAAAACAAAAAGTGGTGGGTTCATGGTATACCAAGTCTAGGAATCGTAGGGTGTCAAGGATTTAGTGCAATGGGCCCTTTGTGAAGATATACGCCAAGGGATGCTATGGGAAATCTTATACATGGAAGATCTAGTCTTAATAAAGTCAAACCAAACTAAAAATTTTATATGAATGGGTTTTAATTGCACCAGAAGCAAAGGGTCTAAAAATCAATTTTTCCAAAACTAAAATAATGATGGAAAATAATGACAGAAAATACAATATGCTCCTGGCCATGTTGAGTTTGTTCAAAAAACTTTGGGAGGAAATTTTATTCAGTGTGGTTTATGCGAAAATGAATTCATAAAAGTCAAAGACTTGTAAATTGTTATCAGTAATAAACTTTAACTGCAAGAGTTTCATTCACTGCCCCAGTAGTATTTTTATACCATTACCAATATAATTGAGTCGTGAATCAATTTATTACCTAGGTGTTATGCTTGAATACCCAAATCTTTTTGTCATCACAATAATTAAATGTGGTTGGAAAAAGTTCTGATATCTTTAATTATATCCAATAAATATGTGTCACTCAAAATCAAAGAAAACATTTTTAACTTAGGTGTTCTCCCAGCTATAACATATGATAGTGCAGAGACGTGGCCTGTAAAAGTAGAGTAGCCAACCTAGAACAAACCGAAAAACATGATTAAATGATGGTCAGATAGACTGAACAGGAAACTATAATTGCGTGTAGAGAAAAGATGGCTATTATTTACTGCTCTCTGGCGTGTACATTGACTGAGGTGGGCAGGCCATGCCAACCGCAAGACGACATTAATTGAGTTAAGAAAATAATAATGTTGAGATAAGAGCCTTGCATACCCGGCCAAAAATGTGCCGAAAAATGGTATGATTTTAAAATCTGAGCTGGGCCTAAAAAATATTTTTCCTGGGGAGGTCCTAAATTTATTTTTTAATTACCGGGCCAGGTCACTTATAAAAAATGAATTTAATTTATATGTAATTAATTAATTGGACATAATGGAGCATTTAATATATATTTACTACTCATTTCCTTGAAAATAACGAAATTTTGAAAATTCCAATCTAGGCCAAAATATGATCAAAATTAAAAATTTGGACTGGACTAAACAAATCCAGGACTTGACTTAAGAATGATTTTTTTTTCCAAATCCAAGTAAGCACTAAAATTTGAACTCTGCAGGTCTCTAATTTATATAGTTTCAATAATCTAAACATGACATTAAAAATAACATACTCCTCATCCACATCTTCATTATCCTCAGTAGGAACGAAATTTTCATCTTGAGATTCTTCATCTTAAAAAGTTAAGTAATAATATTAAAAAAACAGAATTTAAATAAGTATAATATAAAATGGGTAAACTAAACAAACCCAAACTCGTCTGAACCCGAATAAACAAGTTGAGAATAAAACACATAAGATTGTTTTTAGAAATTAGGCTTGGGAACCCGAGCCCACTGTTTATTTATGGATAGTTAATTGAGTTTAAATGATAATCCAGAAAAATATTTATAAAGTTGTAATAATAGTGAAAGCTGATTGAAGTTTATAAGTTCCTTTTTCTTAACATAGCAGAATAAAATATAACGATTGCCCTTAATTTTTTAGCGAAGATAATATGAGTCTCATTAGCTTTTGTAAAAAAAATAGAACCCATGGGGCATGACAAACCTTCTTGGTCAGCTTCGGCTTTGACTCGGTTCAAGTAAGGATCGTCTGGTTCATCGTCATCGTCAAAATCGTTCTCTTGAGCAACTTTGTCGGAGGAAGACTGGAAGGAGTATAGTTAAAGATATATATAATAAATATTAATGTACTTTACAACCAAAATGCCAATAAAATTCAGTCGAAATCAAAGGCCACAATGACATTAACCAACCCCCTATCCAAATAAATAATTTCCCATTTCAGTTTTGAAAAATATAAATTTTTTATGTATATATATTCGTTGTTATGTTCAAAACATTTTCGTATATAAGAAAATAAATTACTAATTTTCCACCAACGTTTCGGACGATCAAATTCTTAGTCTTGATGAAATCGTAAAGACTCGAATACTCTTCTCTAATTAAAAAAAAACGAAGTTATTTTTTTTGCGTAACGCTAAGTCATCTTTAAATTTATTCATTTATAATAAAATTTACAAAAGGTATAATAAAGTTAATTTTTTGTGAACCAATTCAACCACTTAAATATAAGATTCGGGTAATGAGATTTACTCAGCGTGGCCGCAATACAGAGCGGATATTGAGTTGCGATTTATTTTTAAAAAAAGAACTTACTTATGGTTGGTTCACAGAACGTTGGTCTTATTAATATATAATGATTTTTTTTACTAACATTTTAAAACTTCCATTAGTTTCTAAATAATTAGAATGTTTTAAAAAAGATTTTAGACTTGGTGTAAAAATATTAAATTAGGAAAAGAAATTAGCGTTCTGCATACTTTTTTTAAATTTTAAAATAAACAAAAGTAGGAAATTTGGATTTTATTTTTAATTATATAAAATTAGGCGAGAAAAAAATATAAAATATAATAAAAAAAATTGCTTAATTATTTTTAGATCTTCTTATATTCTAAACTTTTTCGTATTTTTTTTCTAAACTTTTTTTTCAATTACTTTCTAAATATTTTTGGCATTTCTCATTTTTTTTGTTAAATACTAATATTCCGGTATTAGCATTAAATTTAATTGCTTATAAAATTTCGTACCAACATCTTAATATAATAAATAATAATTCGATTTTAAATATTTTTTTGCATACTGACATCCCATTGGATGTAATATACTATTAAAGATGCAATTATTTAATTTATCTATTTTTTTTATATACCTCAGCATTCGTAAAACATATTAAGTTTTTTTCATGTTTACTTGTTTTACCTTAAAAATATATTTTTAGTTAAAATTATTTTTTTACTTGTTAAAATAAAGATAGATTAATTTTTTATAATAATGTACAAAGTTGTATATAAAGACAGAATTTTTATCTAAGGAGAAGTAAAAGATATAAAAATAAAAAAAAAATTTTTAATTATAAAATTAAATTTATCAAAATAGGTTTTGAAAAGAAATACGTCGGTAAGTTTTTATTTATATCGTGACATATTTTTGTATCCTTAAGGTTATGTTTCAATTTATATATATTTTTAAAAAAAACACCACTAGAAATAAGTTAAAATTTCAGTAAGCAACAAACAAAAACAACATAATGGATTCAATTTTTTTTCCCTAACATTTTTGTCTTACTTTACCCATCGATTGAAAAAATGATATTTATTTTGGTTTTCATTTAATGGCATTATTAACATTTATTTTGCGTTCTGTTAAACAATAATTTGGCTAATAAAAAAGGATAACTGATTGCATACAAAATTTGCCCTTATGTGTCATGATGATCTCTTAACACCTAAATAAACGATAGAAAACCCTTACATACCGGTCAAACCGAAACGGGGTCCTCGCCTCCCAAAATACCCGGACTATCGATCGTAAAGCCTTTGCGTTACGTTCAGAACGTATCATATGCAAAATATTATATTTTTCATAGTGCAAAGTTTCACTTTTAGATGTTATATTTATTGAAAAAAATAATAATGGTATTGTTTAAAAATAAAGAAATTATTTTTGTAGGATATTTTTTTTTCGTATTTAAAAGTTCTGCGTTTGCGGTTATATAAAATATTTATTGGCATGAAACTGAAAAAAAAAGAAATTTTTGTGGGAGGTAAAGTATTTTGGATTTTTTGGAATATTGTCAAATTACATTAAATTTTATTTTCATTTTGTTGCGCTTTGGGGTTTAATATACTTCCTTCCTCACATATAACAACTTTCATGACCTTAATGTACTAAAAATTAAAATAACCTTATAATATAAGAAATAGTAATTATACAATATCTAGCAATTAGGGGAGACCGAGGCAGGTAGTTAAAACCAAGCCAATAATCTTTTTTTTTAATTTAAAATATTTTTGAACCAAAGTAAGTTGGTTGATCGACCAAACAAATCAGGGTTTAATATAAAATTACATTTTTTTAATATTGTTTATTAATATATATTAAATTTATTGATGATAATAATATGATAATACACAATTAGTAAATAAAATTTAGATTTCAGAAATTTTTGTAAAAAAAATTAAAATATAGATATGCCATTTAATAAAACCAACGTTTTGCAGACCAACTCAACATGCTTTCTAATTATAAAAATGTCATAAAATCATAGTATTCATGTTTTATAATCCTATCCTTTTGTTTTTATTTTAATAAAATTATAATTTTCAAATAAATGGCATATCAATTAGATCCACGTAAAATCAACGCCACGCCAATCTTGTAACTGATATTTACAATTTGGTCAAACTTTTTCAGCCTATTTTTAACGCTCCAAATCATGTGATCGCTTCTGATCTAAATATCATACCCCGTAGGCACAGAAATATTTTGCTTTAATTGGAAAGGAACACAAAAAACTGGCCTCACCTGGAACAAACCAGCAAACCTTTGCTTCACTTAGAATTCTTACTCTTCACCCATCAACTGTCATTGAAAAAAGAACGAATTGGTATTTATTCATAATTAATAAATTAATAATTATTACTTAGCAATATTGCTGAACACATGATCAGTTCCAGACTTGGTGGCGATCTCGAAATCAAATGTCTTAGTTGTCATCCCCGATGATCTAGCGAAATTGACCGAAGCAACTTCGTCGAATCTAATAGCCAGAGGGGGCTTGTGAACGAACACAAAACAGCGCTCTAGCGGATAAAGGTAACCAGCGACTGCTTTGTAAGAACAGCTTATGCAGGAACTACTGCCGTTATGACTATGGATATCGAGAATATATAATATTTATTTTAAAAAATTGACAATTACTTGTACATTAATTTTAAAGATATTTTGGTATCAATAATTTTGTAGTTATATCCATAGAAGAGTCCTATTTTGATTTTGAGAAATATAAAAGTTTGTGCTAATCACAAAAAATATTATGCTATATCGAGAGAGCGAAGAAGGATAATTTTAAATGGAGATAATTATATATTACAAGTAAATTTTGAATAAATTATTTTTTAGTGCTATATAAGTAAGACTAAAAGCCATATCAGAGATTTCGAGTACGTAATGTTAAATGATAGCAAGCTAAAAATAGAGCATTGAAAAATTTCATTTCAAAAAATTTGGATATTTCGACCATTTTATATTAAAAATTTTTAAATTAGAAATAGGTAATGTATTATGTTTAAAAGAATATTCCAATATAATTTATAACTAGTATTTAGTGCTATCCTTTTATATTTAAATGACTACACAATGCTCAATTTCTTCAGCGTTTAATATCGCCTTCACCTAAGTAAGCTAGTTTATATTTTAAAATGATATTTCATCGAAATAGAATGCACATATTTTTTTTGCTCAATAATTTAAAACCTTTTAAAATTTCCCGGAACGGTAATTTTGTTACCGGAGAGAGCTTTAATCAAGCGGCTAAAAATCTCGAATGTTTTGTGGCTCATTTCTTGTGAAAGTTTCCCCTCATAATTTTCTTTAATCTGTTTCCTTTTTATTAATTTATATATTGAGATAATAAAATATTTCTACAATTTTTTTTGATTAAAATAGTATTTTGGCTTGTAAGAAAAAAAACGGTAATAGGTCAGTGATATCGGTAAAAATTGGACACCAGTTTAAACAAAACCAGAATCTAAAGAATAGTATTCAGTCAGTTTCTGTGCCTGATCTTCATTGGCACAGTCTTATTAATTGCAAAATATTTCATTTCCTTTTTTTCACTATTGGGAAAAATTTAAAAACCGCAAAACGGATCTAAAAAATTGCGTTAACAAAACTAAACCTTAGACCGTGTTAAACCTTAAAGGAGCTAATAGAAAGTAAATGGGAATTGACCTATACAAATATGGAACATTTTTAAATGAATATTCGTAACACGTTAAAAAAATATTGTTTTCGTTTACTCATTCAACGATAATTTCATAGTGATCACAAAGAGTAGGATCAAAAAGGGGTATCGCGTTTGTCCCTGTTTGATGGGTGGATCCAAACTGATCTGTATATATACACATAAAATTATATAGCCTTTAATATTATAGAGATGTAAATTTCCCTTGAAAACCCAGGCAAATAATGTGGGAAAATTAAATACAGACAAAATTCATTATATATTTTAATTTTAAATTAATGAAAATGGGTAGGGGGGTTGATTTATTTGAATTCTCCAGGGGTTCGAACCGAACCTGAACCTGGAGAAGAAACCTGGGTTTTGGGGAAAAAATCTTAACCCGAACCGAACCTGAACCCCATTTATAAAATATTCAAAACCCCGAACCGAACCCGGGAATTTTATTTGGGGTTCAACTGGGTTCAGTGTATTGTTTAAATTAATATACGATATTTGTATAATTGAAAATACAAATATTAATAATTTTCTTGACATTTTATAATATTTTCAAATTTCTAATTAAGTGAAGTGTTAATAAATCTTAAACAACTTAATTTATTTACATTATTTTTAAATTTTTTTAAATTTATTCTCACCTATTAGATTGTTAATAAATTTTAAACAATTATGTTAAATAGTTCGATTTTATTTTTTATAACTTTTGGCGAAATTATTTTTAGTTTGTATAACGTTTTATTTTATCGTTATAATTCATGTTTGTTTCTTAACTTTAAAATCAATTTAGTTGATCATTTGATAAAGATATAAAAAGAACATTTTTCTTTTGTTAGAGGAAGATTAGTAATTTTGATTTATAATAAAAAAGTAATTTATAAATAATATTACAACATAAAATGTAATTCGTTTATTCCATGTAGTTTAACCATAATGAATTTCTGATTTATAATAAAAACTTATTTCGATAAATCCCTCAGGTTAGGACGACGTTTTTCTACATTATCATTCTCGCAAGAAGTAAATATAACGCTTTTATCTGAATAAAATTTTTCAACGATGGATGGATCGAATAATTCCACATATATGACCGAATTCGTCGAGCTGGATTTCCCTAAATTTAGTAGCGACGACAGCTCTTATATAGGGAAATTGCAAAATTTCTTCGACTCAAGCAAGATCTTCAACGGAGAAAAAGCCACGTTGTATCTCCGAAGTGAAGCCCAAGCAGGACTCCAATGCACTTCGTAAATCTCTTGTGAAATATGATGCTTTCGCCAGGCAACTCCAGCTCATGTATGACAACCGCCACGAACAATGTTTCGATGGACGCTTCGATAACTACCGTGACAAACGCTTCCATGAACGTGACGAATACGCTACAACTACCGCGATAACCGCTTCGATCAAAGTTACGATAATCGTCAGGATAACCTCAACCGTTTCGACAATCGCTATTATAACCACAACGACGATCGATACAACTACGCGGATACAACTTCCATGACAACCGCCACGACTATAGTTGTGACCATCGTCAAAGTCTTGATCAAAATTGCTATAGAGGCGATAACCGAACTAACTATCCACGTCACGGTCAGCATAGACATAATCCTCAAAATAATAATGGTTTTCTGAAATATTCGCCGAGGCTCAACCATTACAAAAATGACAACAATACTTATAACAGATCTTATGATTATAAAGATCGTGATTGTATATCGAATACCAACCATGCTATAAACATCGAAGAAATCGATGATGACAATGTCACAAAAACAGACGTTAAAGAGTATAATCTTCAGAATCTGGAGGTGTACAATCTGGGGGTCAATGACACCAGATATGATGCATACAACGTAACGGTGAGCATCAACAACATACCCACGTTGATGCAAGTAACTGGTATTAGGTTCACGATACTTCCAAAGCATACAGCTAAAACTGTAGACATAGCCACGACGCGTAAGATGGATATGAAACTGACAGGGTATGACGGCAGCGTCATCAAGATATTAGGTCTAAAATGTGAATGTTAAGTTTGAAGGTAACTCACAGACGCTGGAGGCCATAGTGGTGGATAGTGATAAGATCCCCCTGCTAGGGCGTATGTGGCTTCATACCTTCAATAACATATTAAAAACGTTCTTAGTGGGTAACGTATAGAATGATCTCGAGAAGGCGATCTCGAAAACAAAAAAAGACCTCGAATCAACTTACTCCTACAAACCCAAAATGGTCAGAAAAGAGAAAATTCACTTGAAGCCCGGTGCCATGCCTCATACCATCAAGGAGAGTTTCGTACGACAAGATTGAGGCAACGACTCGGGAATTAGATGGCTGGCTGGTGGACAACATAAACCTTGCTCAAGAGGAATCTAGATGCCCGATACCAAGCACAAGCGATCCGATTGGGAAGTTAGCTAAGGGCTGCTTTCGCTTTACCAAGACATTGTTCGGTTTGAAAAGATTGAACAATGAACATGGGTGGCGTATTGCGTGGCGATCATGATTGTCGATGGCGTTTACCGCTCAACATATCCAAGGAAAACATAAGCCGGATTTTTTTGGAGGGTGGAATGTTAAATAATTCGATTTTATTTTTTAAGCCTTTCGGCGAGATTATTGTTAGTTTGTATTAACGTTTCATTTTATCGTTATAATTTATGTTTATTTCTTAACTTTAAAATCAATTTAGTTGATCGTTTGATAAAAATATAAAAAGAACATTTTTCTTTTGTTAGAGGAAGATTAATAAATTTTTGATTTATAATAAAAATGTAATTTATAAAAAAATTTACAACATAAAATGTAATTTGTTTATTCTATGTAATTTAACCACAATGAACCTAGCTTCCATTATGTCATCTAAGAAGACTAACCACCATATAGTATTATTTGGATTGGTAGTTTATATTCTCTTTTTCAAGAATTGTTTATTTGGTTTGGCCTATAAATTTTTCTTATTAGCCCATTCTATAAAACATTGTCTAAAATGGTAACAGAGAGTTTGTCAATGTAAATAGCTAATAATTATATTATGTGGTTTTTTAAAGCCATTATCAATTGAGGCATATATATGAATTAATTAACCTTGTAATTCTTTAGACGCAAAATTTTTTATATCAGCAATCGAAAATATTTTATACTGTAATAAATAGATTTTGTATTAAAAAATATTATTTTTAGAAATGTCTTGTAATGTTTTAATTATTTATATGCTCGTTTATTTTGTATGTATAATATAATAAATGACAAAATATGTAATTCAGAATAATTGTTCAGAGTTAGTAAATTATAAAAATATAATATATTAATATAAAACCCGGCCGAAGGCTGGGCAAAAGCAGGCTGAAGACCCTCAAATTAGGGAGTATGGGGGGCTTTGCTCCCATAAATTTTTTTTAGTTGAGCCCCCTGAGATTGCAAAGGCTAGCGACGCCCCTGTAGCATTCCAAGATGGAACAATTGTAATTCGTCATAATGATCATATTAAAAGACGAGATTAATAGTAAATGTGTAAATGCTATTAAGTATCAATAACAATATTTATGGATATGTATATTCTAAATTGCCAGATGTACTGTGTAAAAAAAATTTTTTTTCTGATTTTGAAATTAATTGATTTACAATAATCCTGAGATTAATTTGTAATCTTGATAATTACCCTTTTTAATTGTTGTGGGAGAAATGGATGACAGGTTCATTTAATGCCATCATAAAGGAAAAATAAATTGACTTATTTTTTTTATATACACCATTGTACTTAAACGGAGAATGAGTTGATAAGATATTATAATTTAAAGAAGATAATAAAGAATTTTGCTGATTGAATAAATCCATTTTTTTATTGGTACCATCGTTGTTTGAATAATGGTAAATGGCTGTCTAATAAAAGGAAAAATCTTGATTTGTTTCCAATCTGAATTTCAATCCTTGGATTCCTGAATATATTTCCAACTTTTTAAG